ATGTAAATTATTTTTAAACTAAGGAATATTAATAACTAGGCAGATACAACTGTATTTTTAATTGTTAAAAATCATAAAATATAACTATAATGATGTAGACAATTTAGGTAAATTAAGAAATTAATGAGGGAAGACTTTCAATACATTCCATTTTCTTTGTAATTTGAATTACTATCTTTTTTTAATAAATTAAGCTATAAATGTAAGTTTCATAACTAATTTAATATGTAGGCAGAACAAAATAACTGATGATTCCTCAACTAATCAATATTAATAATTATATACACAAAATGAAATTTTTTTAATATCATCAAATATAACTCTAATGTTTCGGACAATATAAATACATTAGGAAATTTTTGAAGGAAGATTTTCGATACAATCCACTTTTTTGTAAATTAAATTATTACCATTTTTCATAAATTAAGTTAAAATATTAATCTATATCCAATTCAATGTGTATTTTAATTATAAAATAACCAGTGATTTCTCAACTTATTAAAACTAATAATTGCAAAGATAAAGCTCCATTTTTATTTCTTGATATCATCAAATATAACTCTAATGTTTGGGACAATTTAAATACATTAAGAAATTAATGAAGGAAGATTATCCATACTTTTCATCTTTTTTGGTAAATTACATAAATATTAAGTTTTTGAAGTTATACTTCTTATGCTACTTCCAACAAGGTTGCGTTAAACGTTTAACGCTACATTTTTATTGGCCGGGAAATCACGTGGTAGGTTTCAGTTTTCCCTCATTCATTTCCATATTGTTTTGGTTCTCACTAGCATAAAAATAATAAAAATATTGTTTTTCCATCAATATTTTTTTAGTTTGATTTGATACACATATAATTTAATGGGGTAGTATTTTTGAAGTTATACTTCTTATGCGACTTCCAACAAGGTTGCGTTAAACGTTTAACGCTACATTTTTATTGGCCGGGAAATCACGTGGTAGGATCCAGTTTTCCCTCATTCATTTCCATATTGTTTTGGTTCTCACTAGCATAAAAATAATAAAAATATTGTTTTTCCATCAATATTTTTTTAGTTTGATTTGATACACATATAATTTAATGGGGTAGTATTTTTGAAGTTATACTTCTTATGCGACTTCCAACAAGGTTGCGTTAAACGTTTAACGCTACATTTTTATTGGCCGGGAAATCACGTGGTAGGATCCAGTTTTCCCTCATTCATTTCCATATTGTTTTGGTTCTCACTAGCATAAAAATAATAAAAGTATTGTTTTTCCATAAATATTTTTTTAGTTTGATTTGATACACATATAATTTAATGGGGTAGTATTTTTGAAGTTATACTTCTTATGCGACTTCCAACAAGGTTGCGTTAAACGTTTAACGCTACATTTTTATTGGCCGGGAAATCACGTGGTAGGATCCAGTTTTCCCTCATTCATTTCCATATTGTTTTGGTTCTCACTAGCATAAAAATAATAAAAATATTGTTTTTCCATCAATATTTTTTTAGTTTGATTTGATACACATATAATTTAATGGGGTATTATTTTTGAAGTTATACTTCTTATGCGACTTCCAACAAGGTTGCGTTAAACGTTTAACGCTACATTTTTATTGGCCGGGAAATCACGTGGTAGGATCCAGTTTTCCCTCATTCATTTCCATATTGTTTTGGTTCTCACTAGCATAAAAATAATAAAAGTCATAAAAGTATTGTTTTTCTGTAAATATTTTTTTAGTTTGTTTTGATACACATATAATTTAATAGGGTAGTATTTTTTTTATTTTCAAATTTAGTGAATAGCAATTGTAAAAAATGAGTAAAAACAATCCCACGGACAATGCGACGGATTTAAGGTCATGTCAAAGTACGTCTCTTGTGAATATCAATTGATTGTTTCTCTTCTGAAATTACATTATGACGCATTCACATACATTATTGATACAAATAGATTTTCCAGAGCGAGACGATGAGGCAACCACATGCTCTTCCACTGGCTCAAGTGGTCCACGAGGGAAAAATGCACAATATTACCGTGATTACTGAGCACAGAAGCGAGCGGAGCAGGAGAAAGAGTCGTTGAATAGAACTAGTGATCCTTCTACGACTGCTGATTCTTCTACAATTAACGTCGCAGGTTGCGAAGTTTAACTTCTTCCGCGCGGAGGGACTCCACGCACTATTTTTTATTTTATTTTTACGATGTTTCTTAAACTTGAAAAGCGTGTCGTAATTTGGACTCCATAAGCAGAATATTTTCAAATGTTCTGCAACAGGACTTATTAATTTATACAAATGTTCTGCAAGCCTTTCACAGCGAAAAAAGGTCAACTTAACGCTAAAATATTATATTTTCATTTATTAAAATACAGGATCATGCACAGATACACCACATTATTTTTTAAACCAAGACAAACATTCCTGATTTTTTACTTTTTCAATCTCTTTTGAAGTACAAAATTTTGCTAATGACGATGATGATGAATTATTAATAAAATGCTTATGATATGAAGGTTCGAACATTAAAAGAATGTATGAGATTAGGGTTGAGGATTGTTCTGCAAAACTATCGTAGGCAGGTGGGCTGGGGGTCGCGGGAAAACGCTGTCACTTATTCAAGATACAAATTGTGGTTTGTTCTGCGACGTAAGTCACAGTTTTAGGCACTTTCTGCTTCTGGGATTTGGACTATCCGATAGTGATATTGCAATATCGAACAGTCAATAAATCAGCAATCCCAATCAGTCAATTAAGAAGTAAATCAATGAAAATAATATTGCAAAAGCATTGACTTTTAAGAATTCTTCAATTACGAGATCACGCAATGGAATTAAGAAAAAAACAACTTTTTTTTTGTTCATTGCGCAATGTATCTTTCTGTTTTACTATTTATTTCATTATATTTCAAAGGTATTTTAAAAATATTTTGATTTGAATATGAAAAAACTGTAAATCATATTTATGCAACACAACTTTAAACTAACTTTGAAAATTTTTTAATGATTATTAATAATTAAGTTTAAATAAAATATAACTTTTTTTTCATTTGATGAATCAATGAAATGTTACTTACATAAAACATTTTAAACGTGACAGAGGAAGGGCAGATACTTACGTGGCAAAGATACGTGCATTATGATATACGTAATGGATGGGATGAGGCAAAATGACTGGCCCAGGAAAAAGAAGAGCCTTATCGGCCAGCTGGCTTGAATATAGGATAGGTAAGTACGTATATAAAATATTTAAATTTTTTTGTTTTAATTTCTCACTGATTAGAAATTGTTTTAAAATCACATGTTATTTAAATTAAATCGCTTGATAAAAAACAACACCACAAATGCCATAATATTGAAATATTGTCTCTTCCTTCATAGTAAATTTAAAGAACATTTAAATCTCACTTTGAAAGTACACCAAGCTGCTGTTTTAAAAATTTTTTATGCTTTTCTTAAGTATGTAGCGTTAGGTGTACACAAAAGCATTTCTAGGAATATTTTATTTTGTGAGCAATTTCACCGCGATACTATACATTATAAAATTATTTTTTATGTATAGGATCACGGTCTTTATACATTATATGCACATTGTAAAATTATGTTTATGCACGGTGTTTATACATTATATTTATACATTATAAAATTATTATTTATCAATTTAAATCGACGGAGCTAAATAGAGTAGTAATTTCCTTAGATTGCACTGGGGGAATTTTTTTTTGTTGCATTTATGCAAATACTTGGTCATGCCTAATTCAGATATGGGGAGCTATGGTGGTTCAGGGGAGAGAGAGTGTTCACCTTCCAATGAGGTGAACCGGGTTCGAATCCCAGCGATGGCTGGTCGACACGAATTCCGCGCCTGGCTCGCACCGACCACAGTGCTCATGTAAAGTACCCTCAGTAGTAGACAGATCATGGCTTAGACTCTCATTGTCGACAGGCTTGCTGTGAGAGGTTTTCGTGGTTTTCCTCTCCATGTAACCCAAATACCGGTTGGTTTCATCAAAAAACTCCTCCACGAAGACAAATTTCTCCCAAAACTTGATCCAGGAGTTCCCTTGTCTTCTGGATTGGTTCAAAATTACGAAGCAACGGAGTTGAACATTAGTAATCTCAAACGCGAAAATCGGGTTGGCTGTTTAACTGTTATAAAATAAAATAAAATAAAATACAATAAAATAAAATAAAATAAAATAAAATAAAATAAAATAAAATAAAATAAAATAAAATAAAATAAAATTCGGATGTGAGTAGTATAGGCAGCACTACAGCAGAAAGGGTGGGATGAAGCGCTTTATCCCCCTTTACGCCGTAGATGCTGTCTATACTGCTAGGTAGGATATACAGATAAGAACATGTCTTGTTGGGGAGGGGGTTCGGAGGATGACATCACCTATAGCAACGTGAGTGAGTCTACGGGAGGAGGGTCTAATAGAGAGGTCACGTGACTGTTGATAACAACTTGTACTGTTGGAAAGGATGTTGGAAGAGGACTTTAGTGACGTAATACTAATTTATTGTCACCGATTGCTGATACATTAAAATTAAATTATTTTTATTTGTCATAGGAATTAATAAAATTTTTGGTTAAATTAGAGTAAAATTTAATTTTGGTAGAATTTAAATAAATTTTTGGTTTTTAAATTCAAATTTTGAAACTGATTGCAGATTTGTAAACAGCGATGTAAAAATTTTCAAGATTCCATGAAAAAAAAATCTCATGCAATAGAAAACAGAAATATAGTTGTTACCTAATGTCAAGCTGACGTTTTTTTCTTCTTTTTTTTTTTTAAAGTTGTTGAAGAGAGACTTCGTGTACAATGAATTTTTTTAAAATTTTATTTTATAAGGAAAACTTTTTAAATAATAAGCAAACAGAACTTCAAAGCTATTGGTTTAAATCGGTGGGGTGGATTTAGAGAATAAAAACTGCTACCGCTACTTCTACCGTAAAAAAAACATGTGTTTATTTAGTTGTATCTCATTTCTGAAATTCAAAGGAGGGATATAACAATATTTAAGCTGTTTAAGCTAAAAGCTTCCTCATATTTCTCGCATAAGTGCCCGCTTTGAACTGGAATTCAATATGGTAATGTTACTCAGATACAGATTAATTTGTATTCTCGTCTAGACAGGTGTATATTGTAGAGCATTTGATTTATTTAAAAGTGCACGTGAACAACTAGTTCTTGTAGCTGTAACTACCATGACAAGATGTACTTTACACCAATATTGTGACTGTGGTATGCATTTACCTCCATTCTTTTTTATTTCATTTAGGATTTGTATGTATAATAGAATAATTTTATTTTTATATTTTATAACCATCACCGGACTTTTTGAGGGAGCTAACCGGCATTTGCGTTACATGGAGAGGAAAACAACGGAAATCTCCCATGGTTACGGTGATGGCAATGGGGCTCTAACCCATGCTTCGCGTACAACTGAGGATATTTTATGACAGTACTGTGGTCAGTGCTAGCCGGGTGCGGAATTCGTATGGATCAGCCATCGCTGGGATTCGAATCCGGCTCACTTCATTGGAAGGCGAACCCTCTTGAGCCACCACTGCTCTCTATTAGACTAATTTTATTTTATAACCGTAGTTGAATAGCCGACCCAAGTTTGGGTTGTATTATTGCTTGATTAAAGATTATTGCTTGATTAAAAATTTCATTCGATTCAAAAATTTAAAAGGCATAAATAAATAAGAAATTTTTTCAAGCTCTCAAAAACAGGAGCCCATTATCAAGACTTCCAGACCTGAATGAGTCGTTCATGTCTGGCAAGTCTTGAAATGGCCTGTATTTGAGCTCTTGAAGTATGTCAAATGTTATTTTGTATTCGTATATTTTTGAAGTGAAGGAAGTTTTTAATCAAGTAATACCTTACCACTTCAGTTTTTTGGGATTATGTATTGTTATTAATTTAATTATTATTAATTTTTTTTATTGTTATTACTGTTATCATTATTATTATATTTTATAATCTTCGTTCAACAATCGACCCTATATTTTGGCTTACGACTGCTAATATTCACCTCCTTAGCCTTGAAATTTTGTACCCAATCCAGAACACAAGAGACTCCTGGATCAAGTATTGGGAGAAATTTATCTTTGTGGATGACTTTTTGATGGAACTAACCCGCTTTTGCGTTACATGGTGAGGAAAACCACGAAAACTTCCCACGGTTAGCCTGACAAAAAGGGGACTCTAACCCATGATCTGTCTACGACTGGGGATTTTTTACGTCAGCATTATGGTCGGTGGGAGCCGAGTGCGGAGTTCGAATTCCAACCATTACTGGTATCGAACCCGGGTCACCTCGCTGGGAGGCAAGCTCTCTATCCTCTGAGCCACCACGGCTCTTATAATTAATATTTTATTTTATAACCATCCTTGAACCAGCGACCCACTTTTTTAGGTGTACGACTGCTAAAGTTCAACTCCGTAGCCTCGTAATTTTGAACCCATTCAAGGAGACAAGGAAACTTCTGAATCAAGTATTGGGAGAAATTTGCCTTCGTGCAGGATTTTTTGATAGAAACTTTTAGATAGGGGAAAGCATGGTATTTTTATAACATAAACCTTTTTTTGCACAACTTATAAATGTGCCTTTTTGATCTATTATCCCAAGAAAATTTAAATATGTAAATTTAATTTTAAGTTTCCTTCCCCAATTAAACAATGTTTCTGGAACAAAATTTGAGAATTTCCTTTTAAATGGCAGCACAACACATTCAATTACAATTCTAATTACCTACATGGAAACTGTGGTATTTTTTATATCATAAGCGCTTTTCTGCACAATTTAAAAATGAGCCTCTTTGTTGTATTTCACCAAGTAAATTCAAATGCGTAAATTTCCTTTTACAAGTTTCCTTCCCCAATGACACAATGTTTCTAGAACAAAATTTCTCAACTTTCTTCTTAATGGCAGCAAAACACTTTGAAACATCTTTTCTGCACAATTTAAAAATGAGGATCTATGCTGTATCTCCTCAAATAAAGTCAAATATTTAAATTTACTATTAAGTTTCCTTTCGCAAGGTAATAATGTTTCTAAAAGAAGGTTTCTGAACTTTCTTCTAAATGGCAAGACATTATTTACAGAAACAACAATTTGTCTACTTGGAAACCGTTAAATTTTCTGACACAAACGCTTTTTTGCAAAATTTGTAAATATGCCTTTTTGCTGTATTGCTCGAAGCGAATTCAAATATGCAAACTTCCTTTCAAGTTTCCCTCCCCAATGAAACAATTTTTCTAGAAGGAAAATCTGGATATTCTTCTAAATGACAAGGCAATCTACAGAGCCATCTTATTATCTACATGGAGACCATGATATTTTTAAATTTATTTTTTATTTAATTATTTATCATTTTTTTTAATTGAAAACGCTTTTCAATTGAACTTGCTAAACCAATTTTAACTTGTGACATATTGCTGAATTGCCTTATTTAATTTATATAGATAAATTTTATTTTAAGTTTCCTTTCCCAACGCAACAATATTTCTTATTGTAAAACGAAATTTTTATTTTTATTTTTATGATGGCGTTTCTGTTGTTTCGTGATGCAATGTCACTTTTCGATAAGCATGTGCATAATTTTCACCTTTTCTATATATTAGTAAACATGCAAAAGACTTCATGACAAAAACATCATTTAAAAAAAGGAAGATAAAATTTGTCCACTGCGTGACCATCGTGCGTATCTGCTTTTTACAAATTAGGATAACTATTGTAAAACATTCAAAGGACATTTGTTCCTTTGAAACAGAAGCATTCTTTTTAAGGAAAACTCAGTTATTCCCTTGTAGTAGTCGGTTGTTCGTAATCACGAACAAGTACTTTTTTTTTCCTACGAGAGCGAAATTTATCCTAAAAAAAATAAACCGAGTTATTCGTGTTAATGGTTTATAAATTCAATAATAATCGGGAACAGAGTTTTTGCATTTATACAATTACTTGATCTTGCCTTAATCGATTGAGGGAATTTCAAATTTGAAATTAGTTTTGCTCCTAATACTAGAGATTGTTTTTTAAATTTTTTGTTGCCTTTTTCATGTTGAAATATTCAAGTTTAAAAACGTTATAAATAAAAGTAGGTTGCGTGAATCAGCATTAAAATTTTATAGTTTTTCTTCCTGCTGTTACGGAGACTAGATTTTAAACATTTGTGTACTCCATAAACACACTTGTGACCAGTTGTTATTCTATTACGTACTTCTGCTGTTAAGTCATTAATGGTGTTCAATTCAGAGTGAAACTATTGACTACTTTAAAACTGTCAAGATGCAAAGTATCTTACATTAATTGTGTTAATTTATTTATTCAAAATACGATAATATATTTGTCAATATTTTTATTGTTAATTTTCTTTTCTTTCTGTATAGTGTATTTTTTTTTCTTTAGAAAGAGGGTCCTAGTTTTCTTTTCCTTTTCAAAAATAACTGTCCTTACTTCAAGGGAAAGAATATCAGGCCTTCGTAAAAGAAAAAAAATCCGAACATTTTTTTGAAACAGTATACATACACCGTACTGATTTTAAAAAGGGAAAACTATCAGCTAAAAAAGGTATGAATTACTTTACTTAACTGCAATTAAGGCAAAAATTTATCTATAGGATTAAAAAAAAAATACTATGTTCCTGGATGTGGGAATTAAAAACTAGTGGATGTGAAAATTAAGAGAACCTTGATAATTTTCATCAATGTTATAAATCGTTCTTCTAGAACAGTTTTCTTTAGGAATACAAATCAAAGCTGGTTTATTGTTTTTTAAGTTCGAATGAAAGTTACATAGATATTTATCATGTTCGCTTAACTTCGAATTACGGAAAGTTATCTCCTCCATTTCATCCAAGTTTTCACAATATTAAGTAAACTTGGTCGTATAACCTTTAAGGGTTGCTACTACAATTTGAAACTCGCTTCATTCGCCAAATGTTTGGAGATGGGCATTACTTAAAACTCAGGGGCCTGCACTTAAAAAAACTGTTCATAACACATTTGCCTTTTGACACATTGATGAATCATATCTGTTATTATGACCACTATCCTACCTGCTAGGTGGAATTTCTAAGTAGGGGCAGGCTTGACGCCTTGTGAGCAAAGCCGTCTAGTTATGTAAAAGTTGTCAATTATATTATAATTTTATATCCGCATAATATAAAAAGAAAACACCACACAACCTATATATATTCTAAACAATTATGTTTAATAGTATCTGGGAAGAAGGGGTTTTCAAGAGTGTCATTCTTTTTAGTTTAAGATCTTCAAAGAGACTAGACGATTGTTCTCAATTTTTCAACCCATTTCACTGAAAAACAAAAGAAAATTTCATAAAAATTAATTAGTTCAAAGTTATAAAACAATAATCTTCACACAGTGTCATTCATTTTCAAATTATTTTAAAACAACAGGGGTTTCTTTCCTTTTATTTTAAAAAAAAAAAATAACATTTTTGCAATAATTTAATATATTAAAAGCATTAACTTAAGTATGAAAAATACTTTTTGATTCTTTTCGAAGCCTGTGACTCTGATGGCAGGGAATAATGCATTTCTCGTTTCTCAGCTAATTTAATCCCATTAAAGCAAGGAAAAAAGCTCTTTCTCGAAATATTAGTTAAATAATTACTTCAAACAACAGAAATTAAAAAAAAGAGATTTTATTACGGATCTCCATAATCACGACAAAACTAACCTTTAAGCATTATCAAGGTTACGACAACCTGTTTAAATCATTTTCTGATGTTTTTCCCAAATGAGGTTAGTTTCCCTAAGTTTGTCAAACCTTTTATATTTAAAAATAAAACATGCTAAACATACAAAAGAGAATATAACACTTTTACTAAATTAATGGCAAACATAAACCAATATTCATTACTTAACAATTATTTTCATTCAAAGAAAACAGTACTTTAGATGGATGAACAGCTAGATGGGTGATGGAAGAAAACCAAAACCATGGTCACTTAATGATATTATTAAAAACTAATTAATTTCTGATGATTCTAAAGTTTAGTGGTCCTGGTTTTAGCAAAAGCATAATCACTTAGTTTGCGAGCAAGGTGATGCCCCCTCCCCGTTTAAGTAAAATGCTATGTTTATAGAAATTTTTGTCATGTTTTATGCACTTATTTATAAAAAGTCATTGTATATTGCATATTTCTATGACAGAAATGAAATGTTCGTGAGATATACTTATAATCAAGATCGATATACCTATAATAAGTCTG